CTCTGTATGTTGTGTGTGGAAAGTAAGGCGTGAAATTGGATTGCTGCCCCTTGCTTGTCACGACGGTTTGCAATTTTGTTATTTGAAGACATCTTTGTTCTCGCGTGTCTTCTAGCCCTTAAATGACGTTCTCTCACTCTCTTTTCGTGCAGTGGAACAACTCGTGTTGCGCTCTATGATTATTATTGTGTGTACGACAACCTACATAAGACTCTTGTCGGTGGCGGGGGCGAAGAGGCTGTAGTCCGCCGATATCCGAAATTCCGATGACGGTGCTCGTTCGTTTTCACCTGCGCTCGTCCTATTCTGCTTTTACACTGCTCTTAGAATTAGTCCACTTGTGGAAATTTTTTTGGGGTGCATGGCTGTTTTAGACACAGTCGCGGGCATGAGATTCATCTTGCATTTCCACGTGCCGTCCGCGGTGCTGCTTGCGTTTCTGCGTGCTGTGAGTCGCCCCTGTGCCATCACGTAACGGCCTCGCTGGAAGCAACTCTATGGGGGCACTGGTTTCTCTGAATTCACCGCAGTGGTCGCCTGCTGTCCAACTGCCTGTTCCGCCCCACTGCTCGGGTGCACCCATAACTTTTTCCTGTTGGTTATTCCGCTGCGAGCGCGCGCCTGGCCTATATAGGCACGGGCGTGAGCTTACGCTACATCATTCACAAGTCATGTGTGAGAAACGTAAGGTTGGGGGTTCAAATTCCTATTTCCGCTCGTACCACCACAATGCGGCGTACTATGTGGCACCCATAAGACCAGTGTCCGACATGAAGTCAGCCTGGATTAAGGTGGTCGGCCCCGATGCGGGCCGGCGCACTATGTGGCACCCATAAGAGCAGCACGCTGCTCTTATGGGGGATTGGGGGAAGGCTCAATCCCGGAGCAGTAAGCGCGGTAGTTCCCTTCTTCCCTTCCTCAACTCTGCCCACCGGATCTTTCGACGTTCCAACATTCAAACACAACAAGGAGTCGACTTCATTGTGTTGCTGTGATTATCCATCAGTGGGGGTCGCAGGTTGTGCTACTCAAGTCACCTTGCTCATCACAATCAAGGCACCTTGCTCATCACGATCAGAAATAAGTATGGATCTCAGCACACTTATAAGACTTAGTATGGATCTCAGCACACTTATCAAACTTCTCCGATAAGGACACAATCAAGGCGCCTTGCTCATCGGAATTATACATAGTATGGATCTCGACACACTTCCGCATATCAGGCACACCTTGCTCATTATAAACAAGTAAGGATCTCAGCACACTTCCGCATATGGGGCGAGTGGATGGGTGAGTGGATGGGTATGCCTAGGTTGCTTAGGCTGCAGCTGAAACTGAATTCGTTCGAAAGAGGACACAATATAATGTCCTATTTTAACGAATAACGTATTACTACCGGCCTGTAGCCGTGGTAGCCGCCGGGCTCGACCTGGGACGCGAAGGTGAAGAGACTGGCGCTGTCTTTTCTACTGCGCGCTAAGTGCCCCTCTGCCAGGTTATCGGTTGGATGCTTGTAGCGGTGGTCATTGTCGGGAAAATGGAAATGTAAAAAGAAAAAGACGTGAAAAGGAAGTCAGAGGTTTAATCCGTGTGACTAACCTGCCAGCCTTAATTTGGGAAAATCTGACGGTCACTAGTCTCTTGTCGTTACGTTTTGCGTTTCTTTCTTTACTATTATTATTATTACTATTACTATTATTCTATTGGTTTCTCAGACGTGATTTCCTTTTCTTTTCCTTTTCTGGTCTCTGTCACTTCGTAGTGGAGGCGATGGTTCAAATTTTGGACTACGACTACTGTCTGATGGCCTAGGCTGGCCCGACCCCTCGTAAGTCGCCTGTGCCAGAGCTGTTTGATTGAGCGTTGCGTGGTAAGGCCCCAAAAGAGGGGCGACCCGAGGCCGCATTGGTAGGGAGCCTATCACCCCCCGTGGAGGGTCATAAGCCCCCTCCTTGCCATCGGACACGGGTACCCGACAGGGATAGGCCGACGCTGTATTTTAAAAAGGGAAAATGTGATTGCCGGTATCCCATTATGGGACCACCGCCTTGAAGTCTCAATCATTTCACAGCAAGGCGAAATGACAGGGGCAAAAAGCGAAGTTGTCGTTCACCCCGTG